GAATTTTTCTAAAAACTATAGAAACAAAATAAAACATAACAAATCCATTGACAAAGGACTTGAACTTGAGACTTCAAGCATGTTTCAACGGGCTCTCACCAACTCAGCTATAACTAATGTTTGAAAATAAAATGTATTACCAAAAATATAAGGTAAAATTTTAATCTATTGTTAATAAAAAAAAAATTCTCCCAACGAATCCACCCTAGCTGGCCACCACCTGGATCCACCACCCACAAATGCCAAGGAAGAAACAAGACGCCACCATGATTTAGCCCTTTTAAAGGCTATAAAGACTAAATTATGCAAAGACATGGGGAAAAGTATAAATACAAGAATGGAGGCACTTTTGAGGAGCCCCACATATTGAGATACAAAGACCATAACTTGGGATTGAGGAGAGCGTATTAAAGGAGAAAAAAATTCAAGAAATCAAGGGTTTAGGGCATTGATTGGAAAAAGAAGAAGATCCTGGTGCAAGAATCATTCCTTTTTCTACACCTTTTTTTTTAAAATCCGATAATATACTCAGTACAAATATTTTATTTTTCTTTTTATATTATGAATAACTAAAAAATATATTAGGACGACAATATAATATATTTGAGACCTTTTATTTCTTTTATTCAATATTCTAATTCTTTAAAAATTTATGTGTTGATTTTATTCATGTATTTAATACTTTGAATTACTTGATCCATAATTCCATAACTTTTTGCTTCTTTTACAACTAACCAATATGCAACAATCAATGGAGGAAGACCAATTCAAAGGATATGAACTGGAGACACCAAAGGAGAGGGCTAAAATGGAGTCACGTTCAACTTTTCTGCATTGGCTTAGCAGGGAATTATAAAGCTAGAAAATGGTGGTAAAAGTATTAAAAACAGTAAATTATGAAAGAGGGAACTGAAAGAAAAGGTCTTGGTATTGTCATGTTGTTTTATCATCGTTATATTTTGAGAGAGATTGGAGTGGATAGATTGACAAGGTATGTGCTTATATACACAATTATGCGTGTTGTGTTTACATGCACAAAAACTTAAGGCATGTCCGCACTTAACACATGTCCACACCTGTCCGAACAAACCATCCATAGTATCCAACTGAAGAATTTAAAGTTTGCACAAGAACAAAACAAAAACATTCAGCAGCAACAATGGAAATTAAGTCTAAGGTTAGTTTTGGTCCCAAATTAAGTCTCAGCCAGCATCCAAAGTACGAGTAAAAATGAAAACTAGTAAATAACACAAGGATTTTTCAGCCTAAGTCCCGAAGGTTCGGTGACCATTGTTAACACCCAATTCCACGTTGAGCATTCGTTAAGGATTATGCTCCAATCCACTAACATAACCTAAAATATAAGGCAAAAGCCAAGATTGCAAATTGAGTTTTCATGCAGAGAACACAAAACTAGAAGGGGGGAAAAAACTTCTATAAATGTAAACACTAGAGACCTCTAAGCTTACTGTTAATCAATATACACAAAAACATTCCCCTTTTAAACAATTTTCACAAAGAAAATCAAAGAATGAAATAAGAAAATGTTGAACAAAGAAATGTCAAAAAATGACGAAGAGTTTAGGCTTTTCTCTTGCCATGGAATGAGATGAGACAATCCTTATATTTCACAGAAGCATCAAGAACAGCATTCAAGGAACCACATCAATACACATCCCATCATCACAATAGAACTCAAGACAATGCATAAAGCGTGAAATCTGTTATAAATTTATCCTTGTTTTACGAATTGCATTTTCAGAAAAATGTTGAACAGGGAAATGTCAAAAAGCGTCAAAATTGTATTTTGAGTTTTATGTAATAAATTTATCCTTGTTTTAGGAAATGCATTTGCAGAAATACCAAACCAAACACGTTTCGGTATTTTGCAAAACTGAAAGCAATTTGAAAATAGCAAATAAAACACCAAAAATGCCTAATGTACATGCCCTATACAGGCCCCCTCACAAGTTGTGTGAGGGGGGTGGGCGTGGGTGATTATTTAAAAAAAAAAAATTACCCACCCCCGATAATGTGTGTGGCCTGTACATGCCCTATGAGGCAGCATTGTTGATAAAACACATCCTTATTGATTAGGGCCATTATTTTTATATAATTTTTGAACACATTTGATCAAGATTTAATCGGAACAAAAACATAATGTTGGTAAGATCTAATGATTAACTTAATTTTGGAAGTTTCTAACTTTTCATGAAATAATTAAAAATACATTAGACCATCTAATCAAATGATCCAATAAATGTGATTAATTTTGAAGAACTCTTATTTTAGGGGAAAAAAAAAAAGACAACGATAAAACCTTGCTTTGTGACCTTAAAATTTAAAAAACATAGTTTTAAATAATAGTTTTTGAGATGTGTGGTTAAAAATAAGAAAAAATAAGAGTTTAAATGTAAAATATTTTATTGTGTGAATATGTGATTCAAAATGAATATGAGAAATAAATTAAAGTGAAGTTAATGAAAAAGGGGCATATTTGTAATTTTTTAAAGATGAGTCGTTTTCCATAAATTTCCCCTTCTTTTTGATATTTTGTTCATAACCTAAAATTGCCTTTCGGTAAATCCCTGTGGACTCTGCCTGTCCGCTTTTCAAGTTATTTTGCTCTTCCTTCCCTCCATATTCCTTTTCAAACTCAAACCAAGAACCCTAATAATACGCCAAATTTTCCAATTTTTGACCTAAAGTGAAGGGTTCAAGGTTTATTCTGTTTGGATATTTGAGGTTATCATTAATTTTGATAGGATGGATTTATCTTTCTATTTATGCTAAATCAAAATTGAATGTTGATTATGAGAAAATAATTCGAATTTAATTCAACTCTTGAGTTTGATGGTATAGCATTATTGCTTCGATTTTACGGCTTATGAATAGTGCCCAGAGTGCCAACTGCTTGTGAAAATATCTAAACCAATTTAGGGTCATTCTTTTGGCCGGGACTAAGGGGAGAATTCACAACATTATGAAGAATTATAAAATTTTGGCCTTTATGTTCTAAATTTCAGCTAGTACTGATGATGCGTGAGAAATAATAACTACAACAATTTGATGTCACCTTAGAAAATATATGTTTTGACTTTGTAATGTTATGAAATATGTACAATTTCTTCTCTTTCTACCTCCAGGACATAGAAAATGTCTGACACAACTAGGGTAGATTATGAGCTTTGCTAGAAATCTAGGGCATGTGCCCTGGATTTGCAGGCTCCCACCTATTGGAGGGGGGGCTGTCAGACCACACCCCCTCCAATAGGGGGGCGCCTATGGATGAGGAGACATTTCCGTAGATTACATCTAACTTGTTAATGCCTCTGTGTTGCTACCCTTCTGTGTGAACATGATTGTACACCATACTGAAAAGGTTAAGTAGTTTTTTTATGTTATTATTAACATGCATTTTTACGGGCAGACTGAATATAAAATTTACTTGGCACGACAACATGACCGTGTAAATGCTGTACACTGGAAGTTTAATTCCTGTTGTATATTGATAAAATGTGTGTTACTCATATGAACCTTGAAATTACTGCTGTATAAAACTGCAATGACAGCACATCAAACTTATTTTCAATATATATATGCGTGTGTTTGTTGTGTATTTATGTATGTACACATGCATACTTTATTTTCTTTGGCAGCAAAATTTATCTTTGTACAAGTTCGCATACTCATTACATAAACCTCCTTTTTGTTTTTTTTAAGGAAAAAGAATTGCTTGAATGGCTAACTGATTGTAGAAGTAATTTGGCACCCGAGGTATGGTACAGGGTATTTTCTTTACGGGCCTTAAAGTCTTCTATGGGTCTTGGCTAGCGTTAGTATAAATAATAATGTTGTAACCCTATTTTTCATATCGAATCAAAATTATCTCCGATTCGCTCTCGTGGATGTAGGCACACCGTCGAACCACGTAATTACTTGTGTTGATTTCTCTCTTTATTATTACGCATAAAATTCAACACATCCTCCATGTAGGAATATATTAGCAATATATAGCCTTCATAAACACAGTAACCCTGCAGCATAACCAGATTCTCATGTTGGGCAGTGGACAAAGCTTCAACCTCGGCTTTGAATTCCCTTTTCACCAAACCCATATCTCCCGAGAGTTTCTTAATTGCCAGCTTGGTACTATTTGCTGAAGTTGCTTTATATACCAAACCAAAGCCGCCACACCCAATTATGTCTGACTGGTTGAAATTGTATGTGGCTTTCAAAATTTCAGCAATTGTTAGTGTTGGATTTTGATACCAGAAAAATTTGGGCGATGATATAGAACAGTTGTCAGATAATCTATCGATACCATGAACTTGGCTCGACTCGAAAATGACCTATACTTTTGGACGGCCCAAGTTTAGGTTGGATGGTTTTTTTATTGTGTGGTCCATTTATTTGTAATTAAGTGGCAGCCCATTTGTAGAGAAGACTGTGGCCCAATCCATATGAGTGACCTAATGTCTTGCTAGTTATGTTTTTGTTCCTAGCCGTGTCTTTGTGTGTGCGTAGTATGCAAGAGAGAAAACAAGAGGAGAAGAGAAGAGAGAGGCAGCCAGCTTTCTTTGGAGTTAAAGAGCTTGGAGTGTTTTTGTTGTTATTCTTCATCTTTCATCTTCCTTTGTGGATTGCATATTCCACTACCATAGTCTCCTTTGTGGAGTGAAACTTGTGGCAACCAAGTGTGGAAGTTTTGGGTCGAGCTGAAGTAAACTAGTGTTCATTTGGTTGTTTTCTGAGCCCAGAATCAAGATTTCTCGAGGGATTCTGTGACATTTAGGTCCATTGGTTTATTTGTATTGTTAGGAAACAACATGACAAGGCTGGTATCATTTGCAACTTCATTAAATACTCCAGAAAAGTTGAAGGATACCATATCCATATCAGTCATCTCTGGGCCACAAGAATTAGTACAATGATTTTTCTCTTCTTCCTTTCGTTTGCACTAACTGATGGGTAGTTTCTGATTGACTACTGCAAGAGCGCTACAAAATTTTACCACACAAAAGTGGATTTCCTTCAAAGCTTGATTTAGAAAATATGTCAAACTGACCTCCTACAGGCATAAGACCTTCGAGATTGTTGTCTGCAACATTAAAATGTTGGAGGAAAGATGGGTTTACTAACTTGGATTGGCTAAGGCTTTTAAGAGGACAACACTAATAGGAAGAAGGAAGTGAAAAAGGAAACTTAACTTTACACACTTTTTGGCTTGTTACAAAATGGAGGACACTACCCCTTTATATAGTGTTTACAAGAAGATTCTACTCCACACATTTTTTAGAGACACCTAGACCACATATCAAGATATTTTCCTAGAATTCTTTAGATATTCTTTATAAAACTACATATCTTACTTAGATATTTACATAGATTTTTCTAGTAGATATTTATATAGATTTTTCTAGATAATGCTTCTAGAAATGCTATGCATGTTGGGCCTTTTAATTGATTTGGGCCTATAAGCAAAATCCTTAAGCCCATATTATTTAGTCCAAAAATCAAGTTTACTACTCAACATCCCCCCTTAAGCTTGATTTTGCTACTCCAAGTAGAGTTCTTAACTTGCGGAACACATCATGCTTGAGTGGCTTAGTGAGAATGTCGGCGATCTGCTCCTGGGAGGTTACATATTTCAGCTACACTTCTTTCTTTGCAATGCTTTCTCTTATGAAGTGATAACTTGTATCAATGTGCTTGCTTCTATCATGAAATACTGGGTTCTTTGCCAATGCCAATGCCGATTTGTTATCAACATGGATTTCGATTGGCTCTTCCTGTGATACTCCAAGCGTCTTCAACAAGTTTCTAAACCAAATCGCATGGCAGACACTTGATGTAGCTGCAACATATTCAGCTTCACATGTAGATAGTGCTACGATCGATTG